TAACTAAAGAGAAAATAAAAAACAAATACTACCTGACATGATTTTGAGTTATCTCTCAAATTTATAATCTAAAAAAAATATCAAACAATGTAATAATCTAAAAAAAATAATATGATAATGTTACTATCAATGTAATAAATCTAAATCCAAAAGTCAAGGATTAAAGAGATGTAAGAAAAAATTTGTAAAAAATTATTTTTTTAAGCTTTAAAGGGATCCCCAACTGCCGAGACAAGTTGTGTTCATATTAAAGAAAATGTTTAAAAAAAACATTTGGGCTGAATTTTTTTGATTGAAACTAAATAATGAATGCATACCAACAAAATTAAAATTATTGTTTTAGTTGAAGCTTGCCATTTAGTTGAAGCTTGCCGCAAAAAAAAAATTAAGGCAGTATGATGCGGTTTTTCATTTTATATTTAGTTCATATGGTTCAATAGAGTTGTTCGTTTTATGTTTAATTTACATTTATTTGTGGTTTAACTTTTTCAGTACTACAAGCCACTGGTAGCGGCTTTTGATTATGCTTTACAATTTATCTAGTTTTGTACATAAATATCCATTCTAAACACATAGAATTTGTTTGTTCTGAAGGTTTAATAATAATCAAGAATCATTTAATAATGAAGAAAAAATCAAAATCAAAATCAAAAAAAAATAAAAATAAAAATAAAAAAAATCAAAAACAAAATCAAAAAAAATCAAAAATCAAAAAAAATCAAAAACAAAATCAAAAACAAAATCAAAAAAAATCAAAGTCAAAAAAACTCAAAAACAAAATCAAAAAAAAAGCTATATTGTGTAATTATAAAAAAGTTATCAATAAGTTAAAAAATCTTGAATAATCCTTCATAAAAAGACTTTAAATTTAGTTATAAAATAAAACAGTATTAACACTGTAAAACTTAACTTGAAGAAGTGTTAAGTATTTAGTTTAGTAATTACCAAAGTATTTTGAAGAAAAAATATTATTTTTATTCATTACATGAGGTTTGTTTTGGACTTGATGTTTTTGTTAAAAATAATAGTTTTAAGCACTTTGCATTTATTATTGTTTAATGATGCATGTTAAAAACTTTATTATTATTGAATTTTAATTAATTGTCAATGTTATGCTATTCAAATGTTATTCAAAAAAATGTGCGGTTGCTACAAAAAGATTTTTGTTCGGCTGGTAGCGAACAATTTAATGCGATTCTTTGGTTTATATTTATATTTTATACATTTTCTTGTATATTTTAGTACAAATACTTGTTTTAACTTTAATTTAGTTTGATTTGAACGGTTATTAGTAAAATAAGTTGTTTAAAATTTATTTTCTACTTAGTTCAGTTTATATATTTTGTTCAAGTCACTTGTTTTTTTTTCCAGTTTATTCTTTAAATTGATTTATACGCTTTTGTAAAATTATTCTTTTAGTAGCTAGCTATATTTAGTTTAAACCACTATGTTTACTGTAAATATTTGTTATTCTTATGTCTAGTCAAAAAGTTATGCAATTCTTATGTCTAGTTAAAAGGTTTGAATTTTTAGTTTTATAAATTTTATAAATTTAATTTTTAATTGCATCATAAACTTTTTTTAGGATTTAGTAAAAAATTAGACAATTAACATGGTTTGCTGATTTTGGCAAAAAAATAATATGACATCTTGAACGAAAAAATTTATACGCTGATGTCATATACCAAAACTGTTATGAGTCAAGCATGGAATAAATTATCAAGTCTGCAGATTGTGGCTAACATTATACAGACTCCGAGAACCAAAAAAAATCGAGACGGCGAGATTCGATTAAAACATTACTTTTAAATTTATTTACTTTTAAATTCATTATATAGTTTTGATCAAAAAAATTTAGCCCAAATGTTTTTTTTAAACATTTTTTTTTAATATGAACACAACTTGTTTTGGCAGTTGAGGATCCCTTTAAATTTTATCTTTTTTTAAGCATTTAACTTAGCCTCGTGGTGGATTAAAAATGCGTAGAAGTAAAACTCGATTGGCATTTTGTTTAAAAAACCTCCGTTGACACTTTGTACCACGGCAATATTCATCATATACACAAAAGCTGAATTTCTGTTTTTGTTTGTTTGATCAACAAAGTTTTCTCTCAAAGGGACTTGGAATATGTCAAGAAAGTTGGAAACTAAGTGTTTAAGGACTGTACAAAAAAACAAAATTTTGAAATTTTGTGAACAATTTTTTTCTCTCATTAGCGAAGTCAGTTTTTTGTCAAAGTGCTATGCGCGGATCAAACTTTTGATTAATATCTTTACATATGTTGTCTATATACAATATCTATAAAACTTTATAAGTATTTGAATTTGTATTTTAAAAAATCTCAAAAAATATGGAAAAAAAGTCGTCATTAATGAGACTCGAACCACAGCTATCTTGTTCTGAAGTCCAGCGCACTAACCACTTGGCTATGCTGACACGTTGATCCTCGCAGATTTGAATTTGTATAAAAATTGTTTTTAATGGATATAGATGCAAAAGATCAGAAATTAGGAAGTTGACGAAATGCAGTTCTAAAATGAAAATCAAACTTTAAAATTTGATATATGTTTAAGCATGTTTTAACATTACATAACATAAAGTTTAAGTACGTACGATATAAGTTTCACGTTTGCTCACGTTTTCTTATAAAACAAAGGTAAGATTCTTTCTCACCAATACCTTGGTTGCAATGGCTGTTAAGAGTATTGGGTCAAACAGGCTCGAAAGGGCACTACTAGTACTACTACTACTACTACTACCACTACTACTACTACTACTACACTACTACTACTACTACTACTACTACTACTACTACTACTACTACTACTACTACTACTACTACTACTACTACTACTACTACTACTACTACTACTACTATTAAGTTTGGTATTATTAAATAGGTGTATATAAAAAATTAAACTTTTACCCAATTACTAATTTTAGGCGTTTTTATGCAGTTCCAGGGCTCTATTTTACATTTTATGAATCTTCTACAAAATCCCATAAATATGAAAAAAGTACTTAAAATATGCTATTGTTTGAAATCATTTTATTTGACATAACTTACATGCAAAATGTGTGTTGCAATAGGTCATTTGAAAGATAATAATTGATTTAAATAAATTATGTAATAAAATGAGAGGTTTTAAAATTATCAACTATTTTATGCTTGATAGTAACACAAAAATACTATCAAGTTAAAAAAACAAACTTGAAATTAAAAATTATAAACAAAAGAAAAGCTTTTTATTCTACAGTTTAAAACATTATGATAATTATGATAATTATACAAAAATATATGTATTTTCTAAAAGCTGAATGTTAAAGCTATATAATGGTATATAATGATGTAATTTTCGAGAATGTATTTTTATTTTATTTTGTATACCACTGTGCAGTGGTGGAAGAGCATAGCACCACAATATCCAGAGCTGGCATTGCCTAGTCCTACCAAACAAAACTTATTCTTGCTTGACTTGTCATTCAGCTATGTCTCACTTGTTAACTGTATCTGTCCCTAAATGCTCCAAAAACTTTTATTTGTCTAAATTTTTCCCAGCACTTGAACACTGGAACTCTCTCCCATCTTCATGTTTTCCTGACTCATACAATTTACAACTTTTCAAGTTTTCTGTCAATCGTTTCCTTGCTCTATAACTCTATTCTTTTTTTATCTTAGTAACTTAATAGTAGTTGCTTGCAGCCTTTTTGGGAGTAATTTAGAATTAAAAAAAAACAACTTTTAGATTAAATGTTACTAAGCTTATATTTTTGTCTTGTGTTTAATATTTTCCTCATGTTGCATCTCATCATCCGGTTTCTTTTTATTATTTTTTTTATTTTCACTTTTTTGCATCTGTTTTTAACCAGCTGTTCAAGCATTTTTTTATTTTTTTTTTAAAACCTTTTTTTTAAATTTTTTATTGACTTTTTACTCATGTCTAGTTGAAAGATTGTGCAATTCTTATGTCTAGTTGAAAGGTTATGCAATTTATATGTCTAGTTGAAAGGTTATGCAATTCTTATGTCTAGTTGAAAGGTTGTGCAATTCTTATGTCTAGTTGAAAGGTTTTGCAATTCTAATGTCTAGTTGAAAGGTTATCCAATTCTTATGTCTAGTTGAAAAATTATGTAATTCTTATTTCTAGTTGAAAGGTTATGCAATTCTTATGTCTAGTTGAAAGGTTATGCAATTTTTATGTCTAGTTGAAAGGTTGTGCAATTCTTTTTAATTGCTCTTTTTTTGTGTTCAAAATATAAATTGCATTAAATAGTGATGAGACTGACTGCTTGTAAGAATTTTCAAGCAGTCCATTCTTTTTCAGAGATCTCTTTCTATTAACATATATTTTTATTAAATGCTTTCAAATATTTGAGTTATAAAATTGTCTGCTTAACTGTTTTTTTTTTTTGTTTGTTCTTAGTGTGAATTAGGTGCTTTATGTCAAGATTTACGCGTTAATACGCGTTGTTAGTAAATAAAATTAAAAAAAAAAACGCGTATAGAAAAGCCTAGAAACTACTTTATAATAGAAAAGCCTAGAAAATGACATAACTCGACTAATAATAATACTATTAAATTAGCGTATTCATATTATCAGATAGTATAAATAAGCATGCCAAATATTTTTAATGTGTTACTTTGATGTTAGACAAGTTAGGCATTATTGTTATATATTTATTCGTATAATAGGATAAAAAAACCAAGCAAGCCTATTGAAAAAATATATTTATTCGTATAATAGGATGAAAAACCAAGCAAGCCTATCGAAAAAATATATTTATTCATATAATAGGATGAAAAACCAAGCAAGCCTATTGAAAAAATATATTTATTTGTATAATAGGATGAAAAACCAAGCAAGCCTATTGAAAACATATATTTATTTGTATAATAGGATGAAAAACCAAGCAAACCTATTGGAAAAATATATTTATTTGTATAATAGGATAAAAAACCAAGCAAACCTATTGAAAAAATATACTTATTCGTATAATAGGATGAAAAACCAAGCAAGCCTATTGAAAAAATGTTTGAAGATTATACCTTTATTGATTGTCCTCAAGATTTAGATTATTTTACAACTGATATGAAATCTTTAATGTTTAATTCAATGAGTGACTCTATTATTCCTAAAGGTAAGAGCTACTTTTTAGTTATTTTGTTTGAGAATAGGATTTTGTTTCAAGTAAATCTGTTTATCAGTTTGGTTTGTTTTTAGTTCATAACAGTTTGGAATTATATTCTTTTTAGTAAAAACACACAAGAAGCACACTGTTGTGAATGATGTTGTGATAACTGTTGTGATGCTTTTGTTACTTTTTATTAAAAGTGATTGCATAACCTGTTACAAGTGCTATTTATGCTTCAGTCCTGTTTCCTAATATAATTTAAGGCATCACTTTAAAAAAAAAGAAAAATTATTAAACATAACAAATTCTTTTTGCCTTTAAATTGTGTTTGTGAGACTTTTTTAAGTTATCTTTAGTGTTGGTTGCTGTTATCCTCTGATTCCAATAGTCACAATCTTGAAGTGGATACATATTGCTTTCATATTGTCATAAGACCATGACCTGTGGGCCATGGTCATATGACATAATGAAAAAAAGCCATACTTTATCCAACCAAAAAAAAAATAGATACCCTTATTTATACTTATTTTATTAGACCATTTTTAGGCAGGAGAAATCTATATTTTTAATATATTTTTATGCCTTTGCTGCTACAAAATATTTCATATTTTTTTTAAATATTGACTTAAGTAAATTCTAATAAAGTTTTTCTGCATGTGTATTTAAAACATCTTTAGCGCCTTTAAAAACAGGTTTTCCCAAAACACATTTAACCATATGGGGCCAATGTTTTTTCCACTTTTGATTTTAAACATTCACATTTTCTCCCTCTGATAGCTCTGTCTTCCCGACCAATTCCTAGGTTTGTTGGGAAAGCAGATGCAATTGCATTTTATTCCTGACCTTGCGTATAATATTTTTGTTTATTGACAACAGCTTTTTGTTGTTTTGAGAATATTCAAATTTATGTTTATTTCCAGGTATGTCCTAAAAATTAAGTTTCAATATGCTAATAGAATCAACTTTGTAACTTCTTTTTTTTTTTTTAATTATATTAAGTTTAGTAAGTTTTAATGAAAATTTCATAAAGTTTAGTAAATTATATAAATATAATTTATTTTTTATTCTTTAAAAAGTTTCCACTCAACAGCGTTATTTTAATTTTAATTTTTTGAAAAAGTGCCTTAATTTACTATAGATCCTAGATCTAATTCGGGAAATCTTACTACTAGTTGGCTTCAGAACTGCCAATTAAAAATTAAGGTATCAAAACACCATAAATATAATTTCACATCGAAACAGGTTGTTCATTATTGTTATATATTTATTATTATTATAAAAATATTAGGTATAACTTGTATCTAATTATTTGCTCATTTAAAAAATGAGTAGCTTCTTTGACTACAGAGGACACAAGTAAGGAGGTGAGGATACAGGTAAGGATGTGAAGACACAGGTAAGGGTGTAAATTTATAAAGTTAAAAAGAAATCATTACACATACAATAATAAAAATTTTTTGGGTTTTTATTTTCAAAAAACCCAAAAAAAAACCTAAAAGCATGAAAAAACCTATTTGGGTTGGTTTAAACCACATACAGTGCTCAAAATGGGGAAAAAAAGTTAGCGGGAGGCGCAAAGTTTCATAACTTTAAATTCAAGTTTTTCTGCTGCAAGCTGTATTTACGAATAATACTCTCCGGAATTAATTCTTGTTTATTGAAATAATAATAATAATGTTTATTTGCATTAAAGTTAAATACAAAAAGGTGAGACAGGTAATCACAAGATTACGCTTACGGAACAACACTAATATAAAAATAGACAGTGATAATTACAATTCAAATTAATACAGTATTAAATAATTACAATACAAATTAATACAGTATGCAATTGCGTTGTAAATCATTATTATTTAACTTTCTTCTGAACATTGATAAATAAGGAGAATCAACAATGACTGAACATTGATAAATAAGGAGAATCAACAATGTGAGCTGGTAAGAAATCCCATAATTTTACAGTTCTTTTGCTGAAGAAGAATTTACGACAATCATTTGTACATATATTGTGCGATATAAGTTTTTTAGAGTGACATCTAGTATTGTAGTGAGAATTGGAAAAGCTAAAGAGATTGGAAAAAGGTAAGTTGACAAGATTGTGTACAATTTTGTCAACCTTAACAAGATCAAATTTGGTATACATGAAATACATGGTATTTTAAGGTAATAAAGCGAAGTGCGAAGTATAAAGCGAAGTATAAAGAAGTTTGTCTTTGTTTTAAGAAGTTTTAACTTTTTAGAAAGATGTTCTAGTTCTATAAAAGCATCTGTTTAATACAAAATTTATACACATTCTTTTTAAGACCTGCATAATGGGCTCTATCTCCTCTTTTACATTTAAGAAGAATGAAAATTCATAAGCGTTAATATAATGCTGCATAATTATTCTAAACAGCCATAACAGATCGTGCTCTAGATGACACCCACCTGGTACCTAGAGTTTGTTCAATGGAATTTAATTTTACACTTAAAGCCATCACAACAATTTCCAGTTTCTTTTAGTTTTTAGAAATGCACTGTAAAGAAAATAAAACTTATCAAAAAACTTTTTTATGTAATAAATTGGTAAAATATTTTTCACAACATCATTTATTGCTAACTCTAGACAATGCCATAAAATTAAATTGGGAAAAGTAAACGAGCCACACCTGCCTTTTTGCCTAGCATATTAGATGCACCACCGCAAGAGACCCAATTATTTAATAAAAAATTAATGTCAAAACCTAGACAATGTAAAGCAATTATAAAAGAGTTTGTTACAGAAAAGATTTCTGTGTTAAATAATTCAATAAGGTCAAAAAATATACTGTTAACAATATTTATTTCTGGAATGTTCACTTGCAAGCAGATTGAAAGAGCATATTTTTTGCTAATCGTGGTAGATTTATCTATTACATATCTGATTTTACTATTGTTATGTAATATATAGTTTACAAGCTTTGTACGCATTTCATTAGAAATATGATATATTTATAACAATATCAGCACATGCGATTGTAATATATGACTCATTTCTATTCATTTTTTACCTGCAAAGATACTAGTTTCTTCAAATCAGAAAATAGACAATTTGTTTTTGCAATGTGATACACAGTGTGAGATATGCTGTAGGTAGTTTTGTGCTGTTTGATCTGCATTTTTGAACAACTCTCAATGGCTCAATTTTTAGATAATTATTAGTAGGCGACTTAAAAATTGCAAATCAGGAAAACAAGAAGAAGAGAGCAAATTCCAAAGAAAGCAAAAAAACAAGATGAAAAAGAATTTTCGAAGCACTTAGGAACAGTCACAGCAAAAGGATGAGACTTAATTAAATGACAAGTAACATGAGAATGAGTTTTAGTAGGTGGTGCAAGAGACGATAGTTCTTTAAAGCAGCCTCTGTATTTATAAAAAAAAAAAGAGAAGCAATATTATAGCTAAAGAGATGCAGGTTTATTTATAGCTAAAGATCTTAGCAGGTGCTAATTTTGCAATGAATTTGATGTATGGTTTCCAAGAAAGATCTTAAGTAAGAATTAATCCTAGTAGAAAAAGGGTAAATGACTCATCCAGTACATTACCGTTCATAAGTTTTAACTGAGTTAAAGTTTACCAGCCACTGAAAGCCCCATGCTTTAGCAGAAGGGAGATCCTCTTCAAGCTAAAATGCCCTCTCCAAGCATTCATAGAGTGTTGGCTTCTTATCAAGACTATAATATGTATAAATAAATGGTAGTATCATTAGCAAGCAATGCCACCTTATGTATATGTAAATGGTAGTATCATTAGCAAGCAATGCCACCTTAGATGTGAGAATTACAGAGAGGTCATTAATGTAATTTAAGAAAACTGTAGGGCTAAGGATAAAACTTTAAGGTGCCCCTAAAATTATCGGAAATAATGAAGAGTACTAACAACTTTAATACTACGATTGGTAAAAATTTTACCTCACACACCTCAAGGTAACATTTTTACCTGACACACCGCAAGGTAACATTTTTAAGATTATTGAATAGGATGTTGACTTTTTAGTATCTCCAGTTTCCTGTATAAAAATAGATGCACTTTGGTTCAAAAGTAACTGAGAAGTCATTGGTTTTATTTAATTTTTGAAGAGGGTCACCCACCATGACTCTTGATTATACACTGGCTCCCATGTATCAGTGAATTTTTTTTTCTTCAAAAGTATATCAACCTGGGTCTCAAAAGAATCCAAATTTCATAGTGATTTCAAAATACATAATCTTTTTTACTGTAACTGAAAATATTGCAAACCAAAAATGTCATAAAAAATGATCTTTTCAATTTTTATTTTTTTAGAATTGATTGCAAAAGTTTGCGATACTGTTCCTTCAGCACGACTAATCACACTAATTTTGTAAAAATTAGAGATTGAATCCATTCCTATAATATGGCAGGGGACAGGGCTGTACTGAACAACGAAGACGTAGGGGGAGGGGGGGTGTAAATGAAATAAGCTTTTTTACCATAAAAATCTCACCAAAGTAGGGCTTTTTTTTAATTTAAAAGCCAAGTTGCAGTTTTAACTGACCGAGTCTCAAATTTTCTAAAATACCGACAAAACCGACAGAATGTTCTAACCACGGGAAGGTGCCCATACTCACGTCAGTACAGCCTTGGCAGGAGAGACTATTTTTTATTTGCGATTGTTATTGCACACTATCTATAGGAAGCAGCACATAAAAAATATAAGTTTAACATTCAATAAGCGTACCAAATTTGATATAATTGACTAACGGGCATTATTTGTATATTCCATGCTGATTGGGTGTTTATAAACAGTTGCAACAACTTCATAGGCAGTTGTCTCAGAGCTGGGAAAAAATTAAAATAATCGAATTTTGCCTAAAACATTTCTTTTGAATAACAGTTTAGTTCGACTGGGCTCTAGGATTCACAACTAGTAAAGTGTTTAATTACGATAAAATAATATTTATCGCCTTAATAATGCTTCCTCGTGTGTAAAATTTTTATGCGAAAGATTATTTCTTTTTTCAAGCACT